CTCATTCACTGTTTAATATCATATTTAACCTCCAAGTTTTTTAATGTTTTTGTTTCATTTATCATAATTAATTTTGAGTGTCATGCCCTTGTTATCTGAGAAGATGCTTGATATGATTTCAGTCCTTTTGAGTTTGTTCAGATATATTTTGTGTTCTAAGATGTGGTCTATCTTTGAGAATGTTCCCTGTGCACTTGAGAATAATGTATATTCTGCTGCTTTGAGACAAAATGTTCTGTAAATATCAATTAAAGCTATCTGATCTAGGGTGTCATTTAGGGTCACTGTTTCAGTTTTCAATTTTTGTCTGAAAGGTCTATTCAGTGATGTCATTAGGGGATGAAATTTTCCTCCTATGACTGCCGTGCTATCAATGTCTTCCTTAAACTCTACAATAAGTGTTTTGTTTTGTTTTTTAAGTATATATTTAGGTATTCCTAATTTAGGTGAATGTTTATTTACCATGGCTATATCCTGTTGTTAGATTGATCCTTTTAGTCTTATGTGATGACCTTCTTTGTTTCTTGCTATGGCCTTTGTTTTGAGATCTATTTTGTCAGATATGCGTATTGGTACCCCAGTTCTTTAGTTTTTTTAATTTCCATTTGCATGAAAAAAAATTTTTTTTATCTCTTCACTTTCATCCTATGTGAGTGTTTTGTATTGAGATTGGTCTATTATAGACAGCATATATGTGGGTCATTTTTTCTTATTGATTAAGCTACACATGTATTTTAATTGTAACATTTAATCTATTCACATTTAAGGTTATTACTGATATGTACTTTTATATTACCATTTTTATTCTTTATGCTTACGCCTCTCCCCCTTCCTACTTCTTTTTTTTTTTTTTACAGTAGTCCCTTTAACATTTTGCGATACTGCTTTGGTGGTCATGAACTTCTTTCACATTTTTATATCTGGGAAGCTCTTTATTTCACCTTCAGTTTTGAAGGATAGCTTTGCTGGAGCGAGTAGTCTTGGTTTCAGATCCTTGATTTTTATTACTTTGAATTCTTCATGCCATTCCCTTCTGGCCTGCAGTGTTTCTGTTGAGAAATCTGCTGACAGCTCTATGGGAACCCGACTGTCTCTCTCTTGCTTCCTCTTAAGGTTTTTTCATTGTCTTTAACCTTTACCATTTTAATTATGATGTCTCTTTGTTTGGGTTTCATTAGTTTTATTTTGATTGTGACTCTTTGTGCTTCCTAAATTTGTGTGATTTTTTCCTTTACCAGGTTAGGGAAGTATTCTGTCATTATTTCTTCCAACAGATTATCTATTCCTTGCTCACTTTCTTTCCCTCTGGTATCCTTAAGGTGTGGATGTTGTTACATTTCATATTGTCCCAAGTTTTCTTAAAACTATCTTCATACTTTTTAATTTTATTTATTTATTTTTAAGTTTACTGCTCTGGTTGATTATTTGTACCTTTTCTTGTAATTTGTTGATTTGATAATCTGCTTTCTCTAACCTACCATTTATTCTTTCCAGTGTGTGCTTTATTTCACGTGTCATTGTTCATTTCCACCTGTTTTACTCTTGGCTTCTTTGTACTTCCTTATGCTGTTGAGCACTTTTGAAACCATTACTTTTACCCTGTTTCTGATCAGTTGCTTTCTTCCATTTCATTTAGCTGTTTCTCTGGAAAGTCTTCCTGTTCTTTCATTTGGGACCTGTTTCTGCCACCCTCCCCCCATTTTTTGCTATTTCTTTGTGTTTGTTTCTATGTATTGGATAAGACTGCTATGACTCCCAGTCTTGGTGGGGTGGCCTTCTGTAGTGGGTGTCCTATGGGACCCAGTGACGTAGTGTCCTTGACCTTCTGAGCTCGGTATTCCATGTGTTATGTAGGAGCTCCTGTTATAAATGGGTGTTGCTTGCTGTTGTCCCGTTCATGTGTGGGCAGGCAGCCTGCGAGACTGTTCTGACCTTGTCGTGCCACCTGTCACACAGGTGCTGACAGAACAAATCAAGACCAAACTGAAAAGCAAAATGAAACAAAAAAGCAAACTAATAAAACAACAAAAATAACTTTTTAAAAAGGAATACTAGAAGACAAGAAACCAAAAGAATTAAAGAAGAAAAACAAACAAACAAATAGAATATGAAAGGAAGGAAGGAAAAGAAAAAGAATAAGAGTAAAAAGAAAAGAAAGAATAATGAATGAAATAATAACAATTAAAACTAGTAATAACAAAGTAAAATATAGAATAGAAAAAGAAAAACAAAGAAAGTAAATAAAAAATAAAACAATCAAACAGACAAGGAAAAATAGAATGAGAAAAGGAAAGAGATACAAAAGAAAAAGAGAAGGAAGAAATTTTTAAAATGAAATATAAAAAAATAGCGAACAGATTTTTAAAAAGACATGAGTAGGCAGAGTTCGCCTCTGCAGATGTTGGTGCTGCATCACCCTTTGGATGCGTTCGGGGAGCTGGCTTTTGCGCTGATGTCCTCATCTGGGCCTGGGGTGCCGGCCCCTCCTGTCTCAGCTGCTGTTTCTGGCTGGTCCTCGGTGATCTGACGAAGCTCCCTGGACAGAGTCCCAAGCAACCTGCCGGGCGGGGACTCTGCAGGCCAAACGCTGGGGCCCACTTGGGTTTTGCACTTGAATGTTCTTGCTCTGAGCTGCTCTTCCCCCCCTCCCCCCAGAACTGCACTCTGCAGGGGTGAGGACCGGGCCAGGGTGGTTTAAACAGACTCACACAGGCGGTGGGGCCTGTTACCTGCAGGAGAGAGTGGGCCCGGCCTCCCCTTCCCAGGGCTGCCCGCTGCACCCTGGGATTTTCTCTCTGCTTCCCCATAACGCAGCCAAAGGGCCCTGCGCCCCCATCTGTCTCTGGGTCAGAAGCCCACCTGGGGGACAGGTCCCCACCCGCAGCTCTGCCCGGCCTCCCGCACCCTCCACGGGGCCGCAGCCGGTCGGAGGGGATAAAAGTATCAGCTCCAGGGGCCTTCCCATCTTTGCGCGGGGCTGGCCCTGGGGCTGAGGCCTCCCCGCTCTGGCAGGAGGTCTGCGTACCCCGGCTGCCAGGGGAGCGGGAGCGGTGCGGAGCCCAGCCCAGCGCGTCCCCTTGGCCTTGGGGCGCAGCGGACAGCGGCCGCGGGCGTGGGGAGGGCCCTGCCTGGACACGCAGGACGGACGGTGCGGCCAGTCCCCTCCCGGAGACCCCCTGTCCAGCCCCGTCCAGCGCGCTGTCCCAGGTTCTTCCAGAGAATGGGGGGCCCCTCCGAGGGGGAAACAGCGGGAACCCTCCCCCAGGCGAGCTGTGCCGGCGGCCCCCCTGCAGACACGGGTCAGGGGGACACCTCAGAGCGCCCGGTCCTGAGGGGACGATCTTCGCCTGGGACGGCGCAGTGTGTCTCCCTTGGACCGGACCCCTGCTGAGTCCCCGCCTGATGTGTGCGGCCTCCCGCTGCTTGTCGGTGGCCGTGGACGGTGATGCGGGCGCGGGGACCCCCTGGCTGCCCCGAGTCCTCCACACTCCAGGTCCCCGCCCTTCAGCTGGTTTTCAGGCCGACTTGCCCCGCAGTGTCGCCGCCTGTGCAGCCGGCGCTGGGCCCGCAGAGGTCGGAATGTCCTTCCCGGACCGGCGGGGGCCGCTGTCTCTGGGACGCAGTCTCGTTGTCACCCGTGCCCGGGAGAACTGGGGGACCCTCCCAGACTCCTGACCTCAGAAGGGCGTGCGGCTGTCTTCCGCCCGTCTCCACATTCTGCAAAGTGTTTAACCTCTGAACATTGGGAGTGACGGTGTCTGCTTTCAGATTCCGTGTGAGGTGTGCGAGGACTGTACGGAAAGGGGTTTGTCTCCAAAACCACAGGGCAGGCTTTTTTTAATTTTTCTTTTTTACACCTTTCCTAGGTTAACAAAGTATTGAAGCTTCTCCTAAGTCAAACCCACCCATGGGCACCCCTTAAACACGTGGTGCACCTTCTCTACGGGGGACATGCCATTGGGAAGAGAAAATTTCACCTGAATTTATAGTGTTTAGTTGTCAGTCCCAACAAGAAAGATGCGCGCAGGAAAAAAAAAAAAATATATATATATATATGCCAGATGGCCAGACATTTCATCATTTACTAGATATGTAATCGAGAACAAATTTACTTACCGACCTCTTATAACTTTCTCTATCCTTATTCTTAAAATAAAGTAAGGTCTGTGCTACCTCTCAAACGTGGTGTAAGGCGAAAACGATATCACGTTTGGGAAGTGTTTTCTACATGGTAATTGGTTACACTTCGGTAAGGAATTTGCTTTATTTCCACCAAGTTCAGCTGTGACGACTTACATTCGGCTAATTCCAATATGGTTTCACGTATGTTTTTCTTACAGCCTCAATCCAAATAAAAGTAAATTTATTTTTTCCAGATGATATACGTAGTTAAATGCTTATTATAGAAATTATTATGAGTATATAAAAGTATCTGTCATAACCAGAAAATAACCACTAAACAAAAAATAATAATAATAATCACCACTATTAACATTTTTCTTTTACGCCATATAAAGTGGCTGGCAAAAGGAGGTTTACAGTTGTTCTGTGGGAAAATACATACGACAAGAAGAAATTCTGTGTTTTCTGTGCTCATAACTGTAACCACTGTATTCCACCCCATATACTACAATTCAGACATATGTATATTTATCTCTGTACACAGCCTCGTTCCGTTACCACTATAACTTGTGAATACTCGTCCTTCCCAGCTCTGTGTTTGCTTCCTCCAGCCAGTGGGGTATTTTGCTTTCTGTTCGGTCTCACGGAACACGCAGAATGCCCAGGACGTGGGCTTTGTTCTGAGAAGGACGCAAAGCGCTTGGTGCTTGTTTCAACGTGCAATTATTTAAACCAGAACTTCCGACTTTAAAGATAACCGTGTTCTTTTAAAAGCGAAGAATTGCAGTACAGGTCTCGGGTGGGCCTTGGGGAACCGGGTCGCTCACGAGCTGCAGCCTTTCCGTGTAACACTGACTCTCCCTCTCCTTCCCATACAGTTCGTCGCTCAGCCCAACTGTCAGCAGCTGCTGGCCTCCCGCTGGTACGATGAGTTCCCAGGCTGGAGGAGAAGACACTGGGCGGTGAAGATGGTGACCTGTTTCATAATAGGACTTCTTTTCCCTGTCTTCTCGGTGTGCTACCTTATCGCCCCAAAGAGCCCTCTGGGGCTGTTCATCAGAAAGCCCTTCATCAAGTTCATCTGCCACACAGCGTCCTACCTGACCTTCCTGTTCCTGCTGCTGCTGGCTTCTCAGCACATCGACCGGTCGGACTTGAGCAGGCAAGGCCCACCGCCAACCGTCGTCGAGTGGATGATATTACCGTGGGTCCTGGGTAAATGTGTTATCTAGACCATATAACACCGTGATGCTGCCGCGACATGCTGTTGTTCAGACAATAACATCCTCCAGCGTTTAGAGCACAGAACGTGTGAGACGGCATCTCTCCATTGTCGCTTCTAGAACTAGTCCCCGAAGCCACCGATTAGGTTGCAGCTGGGTTCACCTGCTCTTAACTGCAGCCTACGAAATGTGACCTTCGGTTGTAGAATGACGTGTTTGAATGAATTCACGTCCCCCATGAATGCTTCCCGGGCTTTTGGTTGTATGTTTGTCTTTGAAAGACAGACATTCGACATGTGTCATTGGCCAGATATAAATAATTACTCGAATTTCCTAATAGAGATGCCTTCTAAAAGTTAAGTAGAAATTCCTCTGCCGAATTAGTAATTCTGGGCAGACGATGACTGCAAACATTACTTAAACTCCATTTACGTTTATCTTTGAAATTATATATTAAAGCAAAATAACAGTAAGTTTAACAACCTTTGGTATCTAATGGTTCATATTATGGAAAGAAAAGTGTTTTGGATATGGAGCACACTGTGGCAAGGTAGAAAAGCTTAAAGTCGCTAGTAAAAAACCCCATTTTTCCTCCCTGCTGTTATTACAGACATGGTTAAATTTACATTGCAATCATGCTTCCCTGCACCCTACGGTGTTGTTCTGAGAAACCCCATTTTCTCAGTGCTGCTAGGCATTTGGGTGTTCTCTGGTATTCTATCCATCTTGTCATTGACTTGTTCGGAGATGTGTGATGCGTTTCACGAGTCACAGTCTCGGAAGTCGAGTTTGAGTCTGTTGTCAAAACTGCTACCAGGATGCGAGGTGAGGGGAAGGCAGGGAAAAAAGACAGGACAGTGTCTGCATCTGAGACACACACACTTTTCTTTTCTTTATTTTTTTAAACTAAAAATGTGTATACATATTTTGTGTGTTTTATTTATTTATTATTTTTGGAAGTATTACAGATGTCCCCCTTTTTCCCCCATTGACCCCCCTCCATTCCCACCCGCCTCCTGCCTTCCCCAGCCCAACGTCTGTGTCCATCGGTTGTGCCTATGTGCATATCCGCTCTTTGGTTTATCTCTTCCCACCATCCCCACCCTCATCCCTCTGAGGTTTGTCAGTCTGCTCCCTACTTCCATGATCTGGATCTCTTTTGATTGACAGCTTATTTTGTTCAAAATGTTCCACAAATAAGTAAGATCATGTGGTATTTGTCTTTCTCTGACCAACTTATTTTGCTCAGCATAATACTCTCCAGGTCCCTCCACGTCATCTCACAGGATAAGGGATCTTTCTTTCTTACAGCTGCATAGTACTCCATTGTGTACATGTACCACAGCTTTTTTATCCATTCGTCTACTGATGGGCACTTGGGCTGTTTCCAGATCTTAGCTATTGTAAATAGTGCTGCTATGAACATGGGGGTACATATATTCTTTCTGATTGGTGTTTCAGGATTCTTAGGATATAGTCCCAGAACTGGGATCACTGGGTCAAATGGCCGTTCAAGTCTTAATTTTTGGAGGAAACTTCATATTGTTTCCACAGTGGCTGCACCAGTCTGCATTCCCACCAGCAGTGTACTAGAGTCCCCTTTTCTCCACACCCTCGCCAGCACTTGTTTGATGATTTGTTGATGGCGGCCATTCTGACAGGTGTGAGGTGATACCTCATTGTTGTTTTAATTTGCATCTCTCTGATGATTAGTGATGTTGAGCATTTCTTCTTCTCTCTCTTAGCCATTTGTATGTCCTGTTTGGAGAAGTGTCTATTCAGGTCTTCTGCCCATTTTTAATTAGATTATTTGTCTTCCTTTTGCTGACTTGTATGAGTACTCTATATTTTATAAAAATTAACCCTGTATCCAATGTATTGTTGCCAAATAGGTTCTCCCAGACAGTGGGTTCCCTTTTCATTTTGATGCTGGTTGCTTTTGCCATGCAGAAGTTTTTAGCTTGATGTATTAATTTTTCCTTTGTTTCTATTGCCCTAGGCATTGTATCAGTAAAATTACACTACATATGATGTCTGAGATTTTTCTGCCTACATTTTCTTCTAGGATTTTTTTAAAAATTATTATATGGGTTACATTTGTCTTTTATCCATTTTTAGTTTATTTTAAAGATTATAAATACTCTAAGTACTACCATAAGAAAAATCCATAAACCCTGGTAGGGTGGCTCAGTTGATTGGAATGTCATCTTGTGCACCAAAAGGTTTCAGGTTTGATTGCTGCTCAGGGCATATTCCTAGGTTGTGCATTTGATCCCCGTCGGGGTGTGTGTGGGTGGCCACCAATCAATGTTTTTCGCTCTCACATTGATGTCTTTCTCTCTCCCTCTCTCTCTCTCTCTCTCTCCCCTCCTTCCTCTCTCTCTAAAAATCAATAAAAAATGTATCCTCAGGTGAAGATTAGAAACGTTCATAAGAACAAGATATATTTTACATATCTTACTGGAAAAAACACCTTCTTAAATGAACTTTAAAATAGAGCATAAAGTACAACCACAAAATCCTTCTTTAAATTTTAATATCTCACATTGGGAATATATCCTTTGTAAAGTTTTCTTTATAGAATATTTCTTAAAGATGTATTCAGGAAATTAAGTTTCCCATTGCTGAATATCTAAAAATCCTGTTACCCCAAATAAAATACAGAATACTGCATTCTGAGAAACACTATAGATACAATGCATCATAAGCACATATGTTATTTTTTATCTTTACTATAGGAAATCAGTAAAAACATGTAGACTATTTTCTATGTAGTAAGCACAGTGCGGGACAACAGTGGTATAAAAATGAAGAGAAGTTCTTTATTATTATGAAGATTAAAGTTTATTGAAGGAAATGGATAATAAATACTGTGGTATGTTAAATAATGCATGAAAATGGTAACTATTCAAATAGAAACTTTAAACTTTAATAACTTGTATAATTAACAGTCATTGGCTGCCTTCTGCAAACGGTGTAGCAGAATTTTCCAAAACTGCTACCCATAGCTGAATGGTTAAACATTGGATACATTTAACTAGGAGAATTATAATAGAAACCAACAGAAATATCTGCTAAAGGAAACATTGTCTTTAGACATCCTGACTTCAAGGAGTGCACTTATCTGGGAGTTTTTAGGATGAAAATAGATTTCTAGAGTCAAAAATAAATAAATAAAATCATATTAATGATCATCTTGCTTAAATAATAAGGCATGGAAAATAGTGTGTAAATATCAGATAGATCTATCAAAACAGTCTGTTCATCAAACCTGGTGAACTCTGAATGTCTCATACCTAAGGCTGAGTTCTAATGTTTTGCTAGACCTGTGATCATAACGGGTATTCTCCATGTCACTAGGCTCTTAAAAAAAAAAGCATGGATTTGAATACATGCCAAGATTCTACGGCCAAGGGACTATTAAATTATGGGTGGTAACAACCACTCAGGATTTTCTTTTTAATTTTTTTTCTTTATTGATTTTAGAGAGAGGTAGGGAGAGGGAGAGAGAGAGAAGCATCGACGAGAGAGAACATCAACTGGCCGCCTCCTGCAGGCTCCCCACTGGGGATCAGGCCCACAACCTGGGCATCTGCCCTGACCGGGACTCAAACTGGTGACCTCTTGGTGCAGGGTCCACGCTCAACCACTGAGCCACACTGTCCGGGCAGGAATTTTCAGTGTCTTTATAAATAAAATGAACAATTCAGAGTGATGACTTCTGAAGTCCCATAGAGTCCCATTACTGCTGAGGAGGTATCATTATTAGAACATAGAAAATTGGTCTACTTTTTTATTGTGAAGCTGAGGAGGACAAAAGACAATAGGGTGGCAATGATTTAACCTTCTATCAGAAATGTGATAGACACAGAAAGGTATAGTGTGATTTGATGATTCTCTTAATGAGCAGTCCATGTTTCTCATTCATTTGCACTGTCTGGTGAAGTACATGCTCCCTCCATCATAAGGATTTAACAGGACTGAACAACTTATGGAGACGCGTGTGGCTTCATGTGTCCCTCATCATGTTCATTTTACTGATGACGGATTGAAGCTCTGTGCGTGGGCTTTACTCAAGTCATCTTGAAGCAACTTAGACCTTCAACTCATGTCAAAATCATGAGCTATGCATTGTGTAAAGAGATATCTTTTTATTCCTACTAAATTTACTTTCACTCATGTTCAGAGAATGTTTCCCGGACTGATGATACCATAACTTACGAGACACGATTATTTTTACACTTCCATTTTGTGTATCCAGACAAAAGACTCATTTTATACATTGATACTATGAGAATTTACTTTGAGGAGAAAAGTTTTCTCTCTCAAATCTATACTCGCAGATCAAATCCCTTTACCTTCAGAAATATGGTTTTACTTGGGAACTTCTTTTATGTTATATACCTTTTTTCTCTGTGTTTCAACAAGAACATATTCAACATTACAGATCCAAATATCTCGTGATTTATTACAGTGGCAGAACGTTTCTGATATTTATAACACTGTTCTGCTGAAAGCCAGCATCTTGTTGAGCATGTTTCTTGAAGGCCATCGAGTTTTGTATCTTTAAGTCTGTAATGATGCCCCTCTGGTGTCATAAATCACAACTCATCTGCTACGAAATGTTTCGTTCATATTTTTTTAATTTTTCAAAAATGTTTGTTTTTAACCCTGGCCAGTTTGGCTCAGAAGTTAGAGTGTTGGCCTGTGGTCCAGAGAGACCTGGGTTCGGTTCCCGCTAAGGGCATGTACCTCGGTTGCAGTTTGTCCCCGGCCCTGGTTGGTCGTGCAGGTGGCAGCCACTCGATGTGTCCCTTTCACATCGATGTTTCTCTCTCTTTCTCTCCCTCCCACTCTATCTGAACAAAAAATGGAAAAATGTCCTCGGGTGAGGATATAAAAAAAAAAAAAATGTTTGCTTTTATATTACAGTGGGCCTTCACTATTTTTGTTTTGTTTTGTTTTGTAATACGTGCCCCTAGTGGGAACCAA